GACATAGACGCCGCGTTCCGGCGCGTGCCGCTGTTGCCGGAACATCGCGCCCTCGAATGGGTCGCGTTCCTCGTGGGCACATGCGTCTACGTGGCTCAGCACTTCGCCGCCCCATTCGGAGCGACTTCCTCCGTTCACAACGAGCGCAATCGGCGCGCGATCGTCAGCGCTGCCGCAGTCGTCATTTTCGTCCCCGTCCTCAGATATGTGGACGACTTCTTCTGCCCCGAACGTAAGAAAGGGCTGCGCGACGCAATGCGACAGTTCGCCGAACTGGTAAGACTCATTCTGGGCCCGAGCGCTGTGGCCGACGGTAAGCTGCTGTTCGGCAATCCGCTCGGGGTCCTGGGCTTGTCTGTGGCGATTGACGAGCGTGGCCTCGTGTGCTGGCCGCTGCCGGAGAAGCGCGCCCGGTGGCGCGCCGAGATCGCTGCTGCTCTTCAAGAGGGCGCGCTCGAGCGCGGGCGCGCGTCAAAGTTGGCAGGCCGCTTCTGTTGGGCTGCCTCCCACACCTTCGGGCGGTTCGGGCGCGCGCTGCTCCCGCCGTTGTTTGAGCACGCAAGGGCGCGCCATCCTAGTATCCCGGCGCACCTGCGAGTCTGCCTGCAATGGTGCACGAAGCGCTCGCCAGAAATTTCACCACGACGCGGGAGTGGCAGGCGCCAGACACCAGGTCTGTCCAATTGCTCTCCGACGCGCGGGGGAATCCAGCTAGAGTGGCCGCGGTTCTTCTCATTGACGGGCGCATTGTCTTCACCGATGTCGCCCCGCCTGAGCCTCTGCTTCGGCTCTTCAGGGAAAGGCGCGACAATCATATCGGCGGTCTGGAGGTGCTCAGCATCGCGCTGGGCCTGGCCACCTTTGAGCCGCTCCTGTCGGGCCGATGCGTGAACATCTTTTCGGATAATTCAGGCAGCGAGTGGGCCGTCCGGTCCGGTGCGGCGAAGCAGGTTGACCACAATTGCCTGGTCCACTCAATCTGGCGCATGGCGCTGGATGCGAATTGCAATCTGCACGTTCAGCGTGTGGCGTCGGTGGACAACATCGCCGTCCTGCCGTCGCGCGAGTCATATTCCCTGCTGTATCGCTTGGGGGCGGAGTGGATTCCTCCGGTGCTGGACGATGCCTGGTTCGATCCGAGCGCGTGGCTTCCTCATCGCCGGCCATGACCGGCTCGGGCGCTGGGCGTGCGTGCAATGGATCTGGCCTTCACTCATCGGTCAGGGTGCGCCCGCCAGGTCGGGCAGGGGTTGGCGTCCTCCCTCGCGCACGTCGCGGTCGCGCTTCGCCTGTGGGCGCGCGAGGGCATCTCTGGTTGTCGGCGCACCTGGAGAATGTCATCGGTGTTCGCGCGATGGCGCTGGCTGGATTGCTCGCTCAGCTTCGCGCGGTTTGCCCTGAGGCACGCCCTCTTCCTGTGTTCGCCGCTGCCGAGCTGCTTGCCGATAACGGCGCCGACGCCGTGAGCGATTTTGTTGGCGTCACCCTGGCAGACTTCAGGGGCGCCGCGGCATTATCTTGCGACGCCCGCGAGGTGGTCCGCGCGGCTATCGCGGCAGCCCAGCGCGGCGGCGCGCCAGCCGCGCTGGGCTGGGGCAGCGCGGGCGCTTCTCCTGCGCCCGCCCCGTCGCCCGGGATTGCCCCCAGGTCTGCTTGCGCGTTCCGCGTTCGTCGCGGGCCCCCCCCCTTGTCGGCCGTCGCAGGACCGACATCGCGACGCGGTCGCCCTCGAGCGTATCCGTCTCGTCATCCTCCACGGTGCGCGCGCGAATTTGCGGCATGTCGCTCGCAGCGCTAAACGCGGGCGCCAGGACAGCGGCAGGGCGCATGCAGCTCCCCCGGAGGACCCCGTGTCCGCGGTCCGGTGGGCGCTCTCAGTCGCTGGGCGCGAGGGTCGGCGTGACATGCGCGGGCCGCGGGCCGAAGCTGCTCGGGCCAGAGCCCTCATCACCTCCCGGCGGCCGGTAAAGCGTGGGCGCGCAGGGCCCGGGTGAGCGCTCTCCTGGGCGCATGCCCGCGCTCATTGCCCGCGCTCAGCAGCGGGTTCGAGTGCTGGGTTACATTCGCAAGGGGCGTCTTAAAGCGACGGGGGAAGGAACTGCCGCCCACCCTGGAGGGGCTGCTTCTGTGGTCCACGACCTTCAGGTGCGCCGGGACCTTCAGCAATTATGTGTCTTACGTGAAGAAGGCGTGCCTCGTGGCATGCCGGCGCGCGCCCGCCTCTCATCTTCCGGCAACGCGCGCGTCCGCCCGCGGCGGCAGTTGGCGCGCAAGGCCCGTGGAAGTCTTCAGGCACCCGGAGGTTCGCGCCGCTAAGAACGCCATCGAGAAGCGTTCGGGCTGGCAGGCGAAGGCGCGCATGGCCCTTCAGGGCCGCGACGTCGCCCGTCTGGTGTCGCACCTGCGCGTCAGTGACGAGGGTCGCCGTTTCGCCATGTTGTGCCTGGCGGCCTACGCATTCCTCCTTCGGCTACCCTCGGAGGCCCTGCCCGCGGTGCGGGCTGAAGATGGCGCGGCCGCGGCTTGCGTGGCCTCCGCGTTCGTCGTCGGCGATCAAAAGATCGAGCTGCACCTCTCCAGGAGAAAGAACCGCGAGAGCCGCTCGGTGATGGCACGGCAGTGCTGGTGCGACGAGTGCGCGGTCACCTGTCCCGTACACGTTCTTGGGGCCTGGCTAGTTGGCGAGCCCGCTCATCAGCCCATCTGGGCTGCGTGGTCCCCAGGCGCGGCACGTGCTCGGCTGCGCCGCGCGCTGGGCGAAATGGGGCGCCACGACGCGGAATCATTCGGCACTCACGCGTTCAGGCGCGGGCACGCGCTGGACATCGCTGCCAGGGGCGGACCGGTCACCGACCTTCTTCGCGCGGGCGGCTGGCATCAGCCCGCGTGGATGAAATACCTTAACGTTTCCCGGCTCGAGCGGCAGTCGGTCGCGGAAGCCCTTTTGGCAGAGTCGTCCAGCGACGATGGCGATGGCTGAGCACCCCGCGCAGTCTGGTGGTCGTGTCTGCACGGCACACACGTGGGCGCACCCCCGGCACGCGGGGGCAGTGGGTGGCAGCGCCGGGCGAGGCCCGCGGGAGCGCCGTTGCAGTGGGTGGTGCTCCCCCACGGGCCCGACCGGCGTCTGCCCGCTTGGCCTCGGAGAGGCCGCGCGCTGCGGGGCAGATGGGTCGGGTCCGCACCCTCCGCGCCTGGGGGAGGCTT